TCCAACTTTGTATCCCATAAATGAAGAAATTTTTCCCTTTTCTGATCCTACTGTGTTGTCTTCCTTTAATGATAAATTTGGAAACTCTGACACTGTAGAACTGAAAGAACTCAACTCCGACTTTGATGAATCTGTCGAAAATTTAACTCCTACATCTCCAATTCATCCGCTCGTCTACGATGAAGACATGTCCACTCCCAGTGTTCCTCTTACTTCAACCACTCTCACTATTCCTGATTCCTCTAGACCGTCATCTCCAGTTTGCGAATCTCCAGATCCTGAAATCATACCAGAACCTGAGATCACGCAAGACGATGTAATCACTGATCAGCCGGACGTCAACATCAATCGCACAACAGAAAGTTCTTCAACTCGACCTTCATTCACCATGGTCCCGGCAAATCAACCTGCTCCCAAAGCTATCACCAGCTCCATTGACCCCTCCAACATCATCACCTCAAGACAAAGAGCAAATCTAGTCACCAATTCTCTGGTCTCCATGTGTCGAGCCAACCTAGCCAACCTTAAATCCGAACCGTACTCCTATCGAGAGGCAATGAATAGACCTGACTCAATTCATTGGAAACAAGCCATCGAGAAGGAGCTGAACAACTTAATCGACATGGGCGTTTTTACTGAGATGGAACTCCCTGAGGGAGCACACGCCTTAGGCACTACCTGGGCTTTCCGTCTTAAAACTGATCAAAATAATGTCATAATCAAGCACAAAGCCCGACTATGCGCCCAGGGATTCTCTCAGATTCCAGGTTTGGATTACAATGAAACCTATGCTCCAACTGGCAGAGCGGCAAGCATGAGGATAGCTCTTAGCGTGTGTGGTATCGATGATCTGGAGGTTAGGCTTATGGATGCGGTCGGTGCCTTTCTCAATGGAATTCCAGAAGAGGTACTTTACATCAAGATTCCGCAAGGCTACATACCGAAACTCAAAGGGAAGAACATTGTCCTATTATTTAATCGATCCCTTTATGGTCTCAAGCAGTTGCCCAGATGCTGGTACAACATGGTCAAGGCTTTCTTCTTATCTATTCACTTCTCTCCATCTAAATCCGATCCATGTCTCTTCGTTTCCGATGATCCATCCTGGCGATGCTTCGTTCATGTACATGTGGACGACATGCTGATAATGGGTAAGAACACTGAACGATTCTCCAGTCTCATTCAATCTCGATTCAAAATGGAGGACATGGGAGACTGTTCTTTTTACCTTGGAATGCGACTGGAACGAGACAGAACGGCTAAAAACATCACCTTGACCCAAGATAAGTACATCTTAGGCATGATCGAAGAATATGGTATGACTGATTGCCATCCAGTCACGACTCCGATGATACCTGGCACCTATCTCTCTCCAGCTTCGGACGAAGATCATCAACAGTTTCTCTCTACAGGCCTCAACTACAATCGAGCCGTGGGCCTCCTCAACTATCTTGTCTTGTGTACTCGACCAGATCTAGCATTTGCAGCTGGTCAACTTGCTCAACATCTGAAGAAGCCTGGTCAAGCACATTGGGCTGCTTTCAAACGAATTTTACGTTATCTTCAAGGTACATATCAAGAGGGGTTGGTTTTAGGGGGGGGATCCGTCAATTTAAAAGTATATGCCGACTCGGACTATGCTGGCTGTCCAACTACTCGTCGATCAACTTCAGGTTTTGTGTCAAAGGTAGGTAATGGGTGCGTTAGTTGGCGATCAAGGAAGCAACCTTCGGTATCAACATCATCTACTCAAGCTGAATATCGTGCTGCCTATGAAGCGGCTCAAGAAACGGTCTTTTTACGTAGAATTTTAGAAGATTTAGGGTGTCCTCAAAATGGTGGTACTCCGTTTTTATGTGATAATCAGAGCTCATTGGCCTTACAGAAGAATCCGTTATTTAAAGATAGGTCTAAACATTTTGAGGTTCATCTTCACTGGATCAGAGAACAAGTAGAAGACAGTATTATCACTCCCACATACATTCCCACCAAAGAAATGCTGGCTGATGTTTGCACCAAGTCACTCCCTCGACCACAACATGAATATCTTACGAATTTGATTAGATCATAGGATGTTTAGATTGAGGGGGGGTGTTAAATTTCGAATCCAATGTTAACATCCTATAATCATACAACAACCACTTCCGCATTGGTCATAGTATCTTACATTTCTTTCCTTCTCCTTATCATTAATTCGTATGTTTTACTTGTCCCAAAGCGGCACATGAGAGACGCAATCCTGATATATACCTAACCTATGTCTAGAAGAACCACCGCCATATAAAGAGCCACTGTTTGTGCCATGTTATTGTTTTTCTTCACTCAAACATTGTCATCTCTTTATCGTGCCACCTTCCAACAGGTGATTAGTTCTTTCCATCACTCCCTAGTGATCTTTTAGCCATAGCGCTCTTCTTAATCACTAACTTGTGATTCTTATCAGGTCTGCATATAGTTATCTAGTTTTCTCTTTCTTATTTCTCAATGCTGCTCATGGAAATATATCACTCAAACATTGTCATCTCTTTATCGTGCCACCTTCCAACAGGTGATTAGTTCTTTCCATCACTCCCTAGTGATCTTTTAGCCATAGCGCTCTTCTTAATCACTAACTCGTGATTCTTATCAGGTGATTAGTTCTTTCCATCACTCCCTAGTGATCTTTTAGCCATAGCACTCTTCTTAATCACTAACTCGTGATTCTTATCAGATCACCTCTGAATTCCCTACTTTATTAAAAAATACCTATCTACCGTTGAGTATGCTTGGATTTTTCCAAGTTTGGTGCACACAATTTTTTGGTCCTTTCTGAGACCCTGGACAAACGCTCCTTTGTATTTTCAAAAGGAAAATAATTTCACACTTCCTGCCCTTGGGACTTGGTTCACTTGATGATTCATCTATCAAAAAGACAAGCTTCCTGACATAGCTGCACACAAGTCTGTGTTTTTCCTTGCTACATAGCCCTTCAGTTCTTGCCAAGTTGCTTTCTGGAGGAGTGCCAAGAAAGAAGCAAGTTGAAAAACACTTGGGTCGATTGTAATGCCATGGTCAGGTGAGCTGTTGAACTTGACATGTGATGTGAAAACACTTTCAAAAATCACTTGTTAGAATCTCATCAAGTTTCCTCATCCAAGACTTTCCGACATGACTTTTGGCGCAAAAGCATTATTTTTTTATTTCATACTAACCAAACTCTGATGACACCAAATTCCCTTGAATCCAAGTGCTCTTGCGAGGTATACCACAAAATCTAAATGTACCAATTTCTCTCCACTGATGTGGTTGATGAGGCTGATTATAAATCATATACAATTTGTCTAACGTGTTTTTCTAGTCATAAACCCTCAGCTTAAAGAAAGCCTCCCGCAGCCGCTGCCAGCTCTTCAACTTATAAGTTTTCATCGATCTATATCTGCAGCAGACAAATGTCAACATGGATTGGGATGATCCAGATTGCAAGAAAAGATGAAGATAAGTTGGAAAGGATTGGGATTCGGAATAACCAAAGTAAGAGGTTTTCCAAGTCATCCCACTCACCTGATCACCGATTGCCACTGAAGAGAGTGGGACTCATGATATGGTAAACAAGGAGAGTTCGTCAAGAATCAACACACGTCATCTACTGTCTACGTATGTCCTACGGGACAGTACCGGTGCGGCTATCGGGTATTATGTAAAGCCCCGTGATGTTCAGTTGATCTGATCGAAATTCATTCGACTCCTATCGAGTATCGATTGTCACGGTTCCCACGAGATGGACAACTCTTCAGAAAGGTCTTCTTGACCAAATCATTCAATAAAACATTTCCCATCAGATTCCAATTCATCCGTAAACACATCAAACTTCATCCTTCTCGCATCCAGCATCAAGTATCTGATCAGTTCCAGCAGTGTTGAAACTTAATGTTACCCTTCGGGTTAACTGTATGAACCTTGCCTTTATCGCAAAACATGGAACACTTTCAGCAACAAAATCAAGATCAACCAGCAGATGGCCCAGATGATCCATCCCTGGGCTCTGTACCTCTCATAAATATTTCACCCAGGTCTCCTTTACCCTCCTCATCGGCAGATGTCACGATTGGGGCGGTCTCTGACACTTCAGCCGACCCTCATGACCAGGAACCGCTGGAATATAGCCATTTTGGACCGAATACATTACCTTCAAGCCCGAACGAGGACGACGACCAATCTCGAAGTATTGTGGGAATGCTTGACCCCAGACCACGCAGCTATCCTACTAATAAAGTGTTCGATATGTTGACTGGTGGTGGAGGTATTCATCAGGCTAAACGATCTGAAAACGTCTTGGATGGTGGAAAGATTCCTCACACTTCTCTTGCTGTTGCTGCGGCTGAGAGTACAGCCACTTCGCCTGGAATGGAAGGGCCACCATCCAGTATCATGATCGACATCCACCAGCCTGATCACCGATACAGCTCCAAGATTCAACCAGATGATCCTCGTGATAGCGACGAGGATGGTTCAAGTTCCCCCTCCCCCTCACTTATTCGACATCACACACCCCGACCACCTCCACCTGAAGGGTTTGCTCATAGGCATCCAGGAAGCACTCTTTCATCCAGCACAACCGCTCCACTTCATCGTTCGATCCTTCATGAACATCGATCTTCGGTCATCATCGACTCCAATCCAACCACATACCCTGAGCCTTTGGGATTCTTGGCTCGCGCTCGAGAGACCTGGAATCAAGAACGAGCACGGTATGCCCGCTATCTCGAGCCAGATGGTCATATTCAGCTTGATGAAGTTGACGAACAAGGCGGTACCTCGGCTGATGAGCCTCGAGAGAATTCGACTCTCAAGGCATCTCTTAGCCCACGTGACGTTGCGCTGTGGAGATGGGTCAATCTAGATGATCTAGACGCTTTTTTGCAAGACGTTTATGGATATTATTGTGGGAAGGGCATTTGGGCAATTGCCCTGGCTAGACTCTGCAGTTTGATGTGAGTTTAATCCTTGATTCAAATCCTAATCAGATCTTGTCACTTCTAAGGTCTAAATGGGACATCTTCAGGACTGTTGGTTTTGTCATAGGGTTCTCTACGTTCTTAGTGGGCTGCATTGATTATTCGACTCTTAGGAAAAGTCACCATTTGGAAGAGGTGATCATTCCAAGATGCGTGACAAGGTATGTGCTGATGACACTCAGTCAGAAGGAAACTTCCCTGCTGCTGACTCATGAATATGTACTGAGGTTTTTCAAAGGTTTTCCGGTCTCACATCCTCACTAGTCTTATGCTTTGGTGGATTTTACGTGTGGAAAGTGTTAAGGTTCAGCCAGGACATCGCAAAACTCTGGCAAATGCACGAGTTTTTTTCTAATCTTCTAGAGGTTTCAGAGGTATGCTCAACTCAAACTAGCGATAGGACTTATGGGTTCACGTCTGGATTTTCGGACAGCGCCTTCTCTCCATCCTTTTGTTGACTTTGACTTCCCGTTTTAAACAAAGGTAGAGATCCAGACTATCCCATGGCACGGATTAGTGGACAAATTGGCGGCTTTAAAACACCAACATCCTTCCTCCTACACTGCCCCTGAGCATCGACGAGCCACCGCAACCTCAGGTCAATCTGTACTTCAACGTAAGCTCGATGCGCATGATGTCGCAAATCAAATCATGAGGGAGGAAAATTACTTGATTGCGCTTTTCAACAAAGACATACTGGATCTTCGCCCCCCTCTTCCAAGCTGGATGTCGGGAAATGCACTCATTGGTGATCGCCAATTGACTACATCATTAGAATGGAATCTTGAGTTTTGTTTACGTGGTTACCTCCTCGATCAGCGAGGACAAGTCAAATACGAATTTCTGGATAGTAGGAATAAGGCTCACTTGGCCGCGGGGTGAGTGAACTGTTTTGATATGACAGTCTAGTTTGTTTTATCTAGACTTCTGATGTCAGCTATGTATTACTCATAGACTGCGACGTCGCTTTATTTTGATGGGTATCATCAATGCAATACTTGCGCCTTTCATTGTGATATATGTCTTGTTGTATTCGTTTTTTCGTTACTTTGAGGTATGTTCGCTGGCGGGGGCTATGAAATGGTATTTGGACTAATACTGGATGTATTCAATTTCATAGGAATATCATCAAAATCCATCATCTATTGGCTCACGGAATTTCACCAAGCTTGCGCAGTGGAAGTTCAGAGAGTATAATGAATTGCCTCATCTTTTCCAATCGCGTCTTTTCAAAAGTTACTCAATATCTAAACAATATGTCGATCAATTTCCTAAGACCAAGACATCTATCCTGGCCAAATTCGTTAGCTTTGTGGCTGGATCATTCGCTGCTGTACTGATTTTACTTTCGATCTTCGACCCGGATGCGTTTCTACACTTTCAAATCACCAAAGATAGAAGTGTTCTCTTTTATATTGGGCTCTTTGGTTCCATTCTTGCTATCTCGCGAGGCATGATACCGAAAGAGTACGAAGAATCGATCGAAACACCTGAAGTGTTAATGCAGCATATCGTACAGCATACTCATTACTTACCACCTCATTGGTATGGTAAATTACATTCGCTCGATATTTATACTGAGTTTTGTGAATTGTTTCAACTGAAGGTGGTTAATTTCTTACGAGAATTGATGAGCGTACTTTTAACTCCGTTCATTTTGTGGTACGGATTCTCTGATCAAAGATGTGAACGGATAGTTGATTTCTTTAGAGAATTCACTATTCATGTTGACGGAATTGGACACGTGTGTTCTTTTGCTGTGTTTGATTTCAGCAAGTTGGGAAATGTGAATTCAGTAAGTACCTTTAAAATTTGGATCAGATTTCTTGGGTTTGATATGGTGATCTGATGTATTGATTTTTTCCAGCCAGGGTATCTTCAACCTAATCCAAATAACACTCCACATCCACCCCGTCAACAAGTTCCAACCTCAAGACCTACGCCTCATCCGCAAAATCAATCCGACGTGAACAAGATGGAACGCTCGCTGCTCAGCTTCGTTGCTCATCATCCTAATTGGGAGCCTTCAAACCAAACAGCTTCGTTATATCTCTCCAAGGCAATCGGTTTCTCGGCCGCTGATTCGGCTATCCATCAGAGTGGCATGCAACCTCACCACATGAACATTCCTCCTCTTACTCAACGCAACAGTCGTTTGATGGCTCACTCTAGTCTATCTCCCAATCACGGGGCAATGATGTTAGGAGCCAAATCACGCCTGCTTAATCCAAACGCACCTACTGGTCCACCGATGGCTGGTCGAATGAATAATAGTATGATGGTCCCGCCATCGGCAGTCGGAATGCCTGGTGCTGCTCACAGGTTGCACCAAAGTGGAATGAAGTCACATCAATTCAATTCTTCAATATCACCACGTCGATCTACGAGCGTTGGCCCAGTAAAAGGAACGAACAGTCGTAGTCAATCTGCCTTGAACACCAGTGGTCAAGGCACAAGTGGACCTCCTCAAGTGCACATCAACACTTCCAAACTAACACGTCGTCAGGTCAAGAGTGCTGGAGTTGGGGTTCATGATCGTCGACCGATGATGGGTGTTGAAGCAATTGATGAAGAAGAATCTGAAGAACCCATAAGACTGGTTCCTGATGATGTGCAAAAGAAATGGGCAGGTATAGGTGAACTTGAGGACGATGAAGATCCATTTGGAGTGATGGCAAGTGAAACGACTGCTGAGAGAACACCATCAGGACCTGTGGATCGAGTTAAACAAGTAGAGGAAGGTGTGAGCAATCTACCGATTGAGAGTGGGAGTGGGACAGTAAGTGGTTCTACGGGGCCTAAACCACCAGGTGGGAATTTGAAGACGATCTTAAATGAGGTTTGGAATCATGATATTAAGAAATGGTGATCGGTATCACTATTCTTGATCTGTACTAAAGGACAAGTATGTTGGAATTCAGAAATGAAATGTTTTATTAGCACAGGACATAGTAGAACATGTGAAGCTATATAGTGGCAAGTTGTAGTTAAAAGTGATGGGTTGAACTTGTAATTTGATTTAAATTTGCATTGTATACATATCATTTTATTTTGTTTTTATTGATTTCAAGAGTTTGGAAATCATTTTATATTACATATTGGACTTCACTATGGTGATTGAAAGTTTATCGTCTTTTGATCAATGTGAAATTTATGTTAAGGAATGTTACTTGTACAATCATCATTTCACAATTGGCTTTATCTCTATATACATCATGTGTGTATTAAAGAAAGTCTTGATCTTATGAAGAGGATTCTTTGAGGCAGTTTGAAATTGGAGGTTGATTGATGGTATTCTTCTGCATTAAAGAAATGAAAAGAAGATTGTTAAGATGAGGATCATTTGATCAAGCTTGAAGTTTATTGTGAGTATATAAATCAAGCTAAGACGTAAAGATATCAGATCAAATATGTATCTTTTGGAGTTAAGGAAAGACTGCATCAGATACCTTTCAAAAATTCATTCTGAACCCAGTTTTTAAAATTCACCCATTTTCTCCGTTTGGATGAACTTCTTTTTCATTAGGTTTTTGGAACCAAATGTTCCAAGTACAACATAGCAGGGTGATACATATGTGGGAGCTTTTTAAGGGTCTTGCCAACGTCTTGTACGATCTTTTCCCCAAGTGATCACGCTCATGTATATCTCAGTGGGGGATTCTCAATCTCAATCAATCTTTTTTTGCAACGTGCAAGCTACAGCCCACCATAAGCTTGTAGCATAAGGAACTGAAGGAACATCAAATTTAATCAATCTTTGCAAAAAGAACCCCAACCTGTCGATCTCTGATCATAACCCACCCCCGTGCGTTAATTTCAAGATGAACCCGTTGCATCAAGACTTGTAGATGGTGAGAGATTATACGTCACTCTGGATGACTCTTGGTTTGCAAGTTTTCATTACAAGTGAAGGCACAAATAGGTCAGAGTATCTTTTATGAAACTTACGCTGGATTGTTTTGAGATCAGAAGTGAAGTTTGAATGAAAAAGAAATGAACTCGAAAAAGTGTTTGATTGAGGAAAGGGTGAAGGGTTGAAGCGAAGTTAGTAGATCTTCAAGTTGCTGAATCGCTTGTTGGACCGTAGTTGTAATAGTATGTATGGTGACAGAGTGTCAGTCTTATTTGGTTGATCTTGATCTTCTTCACCCTGCGGTTGATGTCTGATGAGAGTGATTGCTGGGACATGGTGGGATGAAGTTTGACAAGTTTGAATGGATGAACTCACCCCTTCGATGTGACTCCAAGTATGTAAGTTTAAGTAGATCGGTTGTTATCTTACTTATTTTACTTTGAGATTCCACTCAGCTTAGCAGCCATACATTGAACTGAACTTCCATACTAAGTATTTTACAACTGAATTTACTACTAAAACCTATTGAAATTTTGAATTTTTAAACAAACTGATATTCTTGGATTGGATTCTGACCACAAACTTTCCATTTTGGTTTGATTTCTCAATTCATTTTTCACTCACCAATTCCACATCATCAACTTACAAAACTCTCACAGTTTTCTCTTTTTCGATTTCATTCTATTCACACATCACCATGATGTCATCTGATAACCTCAAACAACCAATCTTAAATGCTGATGAAAAAATCGATCATACTGTCTTCGATATAGATGATCAAGCTACTTCTTTACCTTCAAATCCTAATAATCTTTCAAATCTCTCTCAACCATTACCTAATCCTGTTCAAGCTACTCCAAAGAAAGCTTTACATCCAGTCATCATCATCAGGTTAGTCATTTGTTTTCATCACTCATCTCAATCGCTAATCTGACCTTTCTCTTTCTCTTTCACTAGCATTTGGATCGCTCTTTCATCTTCAGTCATCATTTATAATAAATACATTTTATCTGATTTGAACTTTGCTTATCCAATCTGGCTCACAACATGGCATTTAACTTTTGCTACTGTTGGCACTCGGATCCTGGCTCGTACGACTAATCTCTTAAACGGTTTATCTCACGTTCAATTGAGTTGGGATCGATGGGCCAAATCGATCTTACCTATTGGCGCTCTCTTTAGTGCTAGTTTGATTTTCAGTAATATGGCTTACTTGACTTTGAGTGTCTCGTTTATTCAAATGTAAGTCTTTGAACCGAATCATCAATCTCTCAAGAAAAACAAACTGATAACGAATTTGTGTTTCATCAAAGGTTGAAAGCATTCACATCTGTAGCTGTCTTAGGAATGTCAATCATCATGGGACTCGAAAAACCTAATCAAAGAACCATGTTGATCGTGGTTTTGATCTCATTAGGTGTAGCTATTGCTTCAGTTGGAGAAGTTCAATTCTCAATGTCTGGTTTCATTAGTCAATCACTTGCAATCATGTTTGAAGCTTCAAGATTAGTAACGATTCAAAAACTTTTACATGGGATGAAGATGGATCCTTTAGTATCGTAAGTCAATCAATCAAATCATCAAACAACCTCAATCACTAATGAAAACTGATCCTTTGTGGTTTTGATCTAGTCTCTATTACTTCGCACCTGTTTGTGCAACTCTCAATGCACTTTTGATTCCATTATACGAAGGAAGAGCACCATTCCAAGAAGCCTTAAACACACTTGGTCCCATCATCCTCATCACAAATGCAGGAGTTGCGTTTTGTTTGAATGTGGCAGTTGTGTTTTTGATTGGATCAGCTTCTTCATTGGTTTTAACTTTATCGGGTGTAGTTAAAGATTTGTTATTGGTAGGTGGATCGATTTTGATCTTAGGTAGTTCAGTGACTTTACTTCAAATCTTTGGTTATGGAATCGCTTTAACTGGTTTAGTGGCTTTTAAAACTAAACCTGAAGTCTTGGATGAAAAGATCGCTGGAATCAAAAGAGCTCTTGGACGTTAGAACAAAAAAAAATTCATATGTTTTGAGAATTCATTACTTTTTGACTAGTTTTACTTTTACTGTTACCTTCTTTGAGATGAATCTATTTTTTTAAACTTACTTACTCTTACCATATTACAATCATCTACATATATAGATTTTCAATCAATGAGATTTTAGTTTTTTTTTTCTTTTTCATTTTTCTTTTTCATCTTTACTTTTTTTTTTTGATGGTTTGATTTGTATGGCCGGATTCAAGAGATTTTTTTTTGTTACAAAGAAAAAAATTGTGAACATCATCAACAGAAAAGAAAAGCAAACCAAAAAAAAAATCTTTTGATAACTTTTTGATCAATTTTTTTTCTTTTCTTTTCTTTTTGTGTGATTCATTATAAACCTTTATATAAAAAAATATTGGATATGTGTTTGATTTAAAAAGAAGAATGGTCTTGGAATGGTACAGATTGTCACTGCCAGCATTAAATATGTTCCCTGGTCGGAACATGACCTAGGCTGGGAATATCATTGAGAGAACAATGGTGCATCAAATCATCTTGCACTGCACATCTGAGCCATGAGGCATACACTACATATGTGCAAACATCTAAGTAAATCCTTAGCTATCAGCTACATACAGGTCCGCTCAGTTATCTGCTCATCTAGATAAGGAGTTCATGTGTAATACATGCTGTAACTTTGTTCAGATTGAGCCACACATCTCCAAATATTGACTACATATATCACAATGGCTACTCAGGAAATATTCATGGAACTGTGTAACAGTAGCAGGATGGGAATGTGATCACTAGGACCCATATTCCCATCTGGGAACCTCTTTAATGCTGGCAGTGTGTTATCATCATCTTTACTTAAATTACTGTGTAGGTGGTTTGCATTTATATATGGGTTTGTTCATGAACTATATATGAATGGACAATCAATGGCTATGTAGCTAGAGGTGCATTTCACTGAGTCCAGTCCCCAGTCCCCCAAAGCTAAAGATCTTTTGGTACATGACTTGTATCAGATATCCCATCCCCTTCTCTTAGCCCTTGTATTGATGTCTGGTTGCATCATTGCCATTTCTCCTATCACATCCTTGTGACTCTTTATCATGTGAGAAGAGTTCAGTGAGGTTCTGTCAGCAGTATGGGAGTGACTTGAGGATAAGTACATCTACATAAGTACATTCAATATCTTATTGATGACACAACCAATCCCCAGCTTTGGTGTTGACAAAGACAAAATATCTGGGGCATGTTGAAGGACCTTCCCAATCAAATTCTAAGATCTATGAAGCCCATAGTAAATTGATTATATTTAATTCTCATTAAGAATCAGATAATTTTATGGAACTCAAGTAGAGAATTGGTCAAGTTGATCCAAGAAGTGGTTCAGTCATGTGATGGGTGGGGGTGTCATCACAAAAGAAGGTAAAAGGATAATAACTTGTTTTTAATTCAATAAATGTAGTTTATTATCACACATATCATTTAAATAAACATTCAAAAATGTTATCATCATACCAAGTTTCTCTCAAACTGTTGTCATTAGCTTTCATGGTATGCTACTGGCACTACCCAACAGGTTCAGATTCACATTAATGAAAATCAATAAGTTTATTTGATTAATCTAGAGGTTCAATGGATTTGATTCTTACATGGTGAGATGGTGTTTGATAAGGTGAAAGAAGTGGATTGGTTGAAGGTGCCTTGTGTATCAGTGCTTGATATGGATTTCAAGTTCCATGGTGTTTGTATTTAGGGCATGTTGGAATGTAATTTGTTATCAAGATGTTTATTTACTATCAGTAGAGTCAAACCCGTGTATAAAAATACCACTTTGCGTAAAGGGGTTCTAATGACTCTAAATGGTTTATGGCTCTATTGGGTGGACCCTCTGAGTACATAAAGCTATGAGTTTGAATTGAAAGCCTTCTAAACCCATAATCAGTGTGGTACTGTTAAGTGAGCTATGTAGGTCAGCTGTTAAATGCAAGTCCCTAACCACTCAGAAGAACGTCATGTCCAACTTGTTTTTGGCAGAAGCTCCAAAGGGTACAAAAAAGAAGGGTGTTTGTTTTAATCAATTTTAATAATTAACACATCATGATTTGAATATTCCTCATCAATGGTGAATGCTTCAGCTGTGATTTGTACCTTTCAGATCTTATAACATCCAGTAGTTGTGAAATTGATAGAATCAAATGAAAATTCAATGAATGCAGATTAATAGTCTACAACAGTGTTGGTTGCTTTGAAGTGGCAAGGGGTGGGGATGTAGATCCAGTGTAATCTTCTGAGCTACTGTTTGTCAAGTTTTCAGGATCTTTGATCAAGTCATTCTTTGTTCGGTGATGTAATCTTTATGTCTTCCTATCTGCTGCTGACCTGAGACATTTATACTTTGTGAGGTGTTGTGTTGAACTTGAAGTAAACTTGTTATATTGGGTAATGTTGATTGGAGTAGGTTTGTTTAATATCTCCTTAGGTCTTGTGAAGAATCAGGAAATATGTAAATGTGTGATTCCTAAAGATAAGAGCATCCACAGTGGTGCTTGGACTCCTGGTCTCCAGACTCTCAATCAGCCCCCAATGACAATTCTCAATGTGGAAGGGTCAAAGAAAATGTGTGTGTGTGTAGCAGAGCACATAAATTGACAGGGAACCCTCAACTTTGGTGTATGATATGCTTGTACTTTATGTTTGTTAAGGGTACTCAAAGTATGTATGTGGCACCATATATGTGTGGTGCCACATAACATATGTGGCCCCACATACCTTCCAAATTTCATTTTTGACACAGAAAATACCATAACAAGTTAAAGGACAGGACATTTTGAATTATATCTGGCAAATTGTGTGATTGAAAATGTCAGTTTAGGTCATTTTGCCTGTCAAAAACAAAATTTGAAAGTATGTGGCACTACATACTTGTTTTGAGTACCCTTGTTGTGTCTTTGCAACATATAGGGGCTTTATAGGGCTGTATCTGATGTTGAGAGTCCTGATTGAACACTCAAATTGGGAGACTCTGAACCAAAACCCCAAGACTCTTGGTGGTCCATCCTAGATTTTGCAAGGGTCACTGAATTTCTTCTATATTTTATATCTTATATACTTGAGAATATACAAGGACCACTGCTGATGCTCTGGTACATGCAGGTCAAAGTGGTTTTGAGATACAGTGCACAACCATCTTTCACTGACTTATGTTATAATAGTGTCTGCCATTATCTGATCATTGCAAGAGGTCATACACAGACCCTTGATAGTAAGTTTTAGATGTAAGTGGTAGAAAAAAGTCTGTTTGCAAACTGTAGCAATCAAATTTAGGCAGAAAGCTTTGATTCAATGCTTGAGTATCCTTCAAGTTTTACTCTGATATTGACACAACCAAAGTTGAAATTACAAACATTTGCTTGAGATTTTGTGTGGATGTGTGCAATGTTGAGAGCCCTTAGATATGTGGGTTGATGACCAACCCTGTATTTTGTGAGGAACACTGCAGTGGGTTTTGAACCTTGCACAATTGGGGAACTGCTTTGGACACCCTCAAGGAGTGTCCAATCTCACTTTTGACAAAAAGCCTGTTCTTAGGTCCGACACATCCAGATGTGGACAGGGGAGTCAGGATTGTGCAATGTCCGCCACCTTGAACGTCCATAGCCCAAGAAATCACCATTCACAATATTTGGATTTGGAATATCCAGAAAACAACTTTTATAATGCATAACATATACAAATATCCTCAACCATCATTCTGTGAGATTGAACACAGCTTTGGAAAGAAATGGAAAAGGGAAGCTTGTTTTTTTGTCAAAACCCAAGGGCATATTTCATGGCTGGTGGAGATATACCCTTTGAGTTCCCTAAACTATGATACTGGTCATTGGGTTGGGCAGATTCATGGGATAGGCACAAAATTCAACCAGCTCAATTTGGTATTAGACCAGAATGAGAACTGTGGGCTTAGAAGGTTTATAACTTCTCAGGGGCATCATTACCCATAGGTTTGCCTGTATAATCATATATGTCGCAGGATTTGTGTCTGTTTAACTGCTCCCCTTCCTCCTTATCATAAACAACATCTCCAAAATCTGAAACTTGATCAGTCCTCATATTGTGTGTGTTGTGGCTTTGAGGTGGGAAAGCTGGAGACCAAAGGTAGAATATATTCCAAGGGTCACTTGGGTCAGGTGAAATTCAAAATTTGACCTGGGAAAGCCCACCCAAAATTTAGCTCAAGTGCTGTGCCCCAGGCCTACCCATGGAACAGGCCACAAAGGTATACCAATTGTGCTAGACTCTCAAGTGAATTCACATTGTTGTGACATGTGAAGCAATGATTAAGTCAACTCTATGTCAACCATCCTAGTGTTGCCTTCTAAGTCCAGTCACAATCACCATTCTTGCAAATGCTGCTTTGAAACCAGGATAGTAGGTTGTTTTTGTAAGGGGAGTGTATGTAAGCACTGCTTTTAATATATATGTTGCTTTGTTCAATAGAAGATGGTCTTCAACAATGTGAACAGAAGCAGCCCTTTTGGTTTGAACTTCATCATGATCAGTTTAGCCATCCTTGGATGACTCAAATGAGCTCACCCGTGTTGAGCAGTGGTGAATCATATAAAAAGGTACTTGATTTGGTGCCAGCATGTGGTACTTGCGTGAAGCAACAGCACCTGATTAATTGAGTGAAGCAACAAAAAAATTAGGCAGGGTTGAAGACGTGGGTTGTGTCGTGCATAGGTTGATTTGAAGAGTCATACATGGTATTGTATACTATAATCCAATATACCCTACTTGATGTGTGTTTAATGCCATCACTTTTGGTTTCCTGCCCCACCATATCGATTTCTATATCACACGCTTCCGGAAAAATATGTTGTAACACAATATGACTTCTACTAAGAGAAACTGTGGATGTCTAATATCAAGAAGTGTAAGCATGCCGAAGGGGTAAGGCTAGTATCATCATGTTTGCCAGGCTCTGGTATCCAAACCCAATTGGAATGAGCTTGAGTGATTGACGAACATTCTACACATCTTCATCAAGATGAGCAAATGCGCGATTTCAAAATTGATGTGTCATGCAGTGTAGTTTTTGGTTTCACCTTTGATTCTCTTGAAGAAAATATCAGAAAAAAGGGATTTGATCGCCGAAGTTTGAAGTGTAAGATTTCTATAGAGGTACATTAGGCTTGACGGAGAGAGAGAAGGGAGTGAGTCAGAGGCCGAGATAAGGATTGGCGTTTGTCCTTTGCAGTTTGCGCAAAAGCTGTTGGAAAGAGAGTATTATTAATAGAGGAGAGTGATGAATAGTGATGAGAAATGCTGACCTCGTAAGCCCCAGCAGCGTACTCTTTTAGAAAGGCGCCCAAGAGAAGAGCGGTGGTGATGATGATAAATCCAATGACGATGGTGGCGTCTTTTGCAGAATCCCTTTCTGGAGGATGAAGGAAGGTTCAGCAAAGGATGAAATGAAAGTCAAGAGAGAGACCACTAACGAAAGCACTTTGTTCTGACATCGCCCTCATCCCCAGTTCCTGTATCAGGATTTGTGTTACCGAGTTGAGCATTCTGACAGATGGCGAGTTTCTGATCGAGACAGAATTGTTTTGTACAAGTCAAGCAAGGTTTTGCTATATCCTTTGGGCGATAAAGTGGGACGATGGTGTAGTTTGAGAAACACATGCATTTACAAACTTGATGAGGGTAGTCAGGATGTATAAGAGCAGCGAGGGAGATGGTTATTGAGAGGATACATACAAGAGATGTCTGCGATGATGGGAGAGATGAGCTGATGGAACCAGTTTTAGTATATGAGATCTAGGTTTTTTGGGCTCGATCGAAGGGCGCGCACCAAGATTGTGGCTAGGAGAGCGAGCTGGAAAGACATGAGGTTCATCGAGAGTTGCAAAGTTGATCGAGCACGGAAGTCGAGCAGTTGTATGTAGTGTTACTGAATATTCTTGATGAAAGTTGCACTCCTGGGAGTCGGACTGATGAGAATGTCAGGAAAGAACGAAGAAGGTGTCGAATAGGAAGGATGAGAATGCTGAGTTCCTTGTTGGTGAAGTGAGGGCAAGGAAAGGAAGTGGCGAGTTGATGTGAATGTATGCGGAGGATGTTGTGAGGTAGTGTAGGGAACCGGGCAGCTCGAGTATCGAAATACAGAAGAAGCTGTATGGAGATTTGGCCGAGTGGTCTAAGGCGCCGTCTTAAGGATCCTTCGGGTAATCCGGCGGTCTTCGGGCGTGGGTTCGAATCCCACAGTCTTCAGTATCTTTGTTAGTATAGTGGTCAGTACTCCCGCTTGTCACGCGGGCAACCGGGGTTCGAGTCCCCGACAGAGAGATATTTTTTGTCCGTGTCAACAGTCGACTTGATCCTAGGTCATCCGCCAGAGGGTGCTCTAGCCAGAAGTCATCTCACTGATCTTTTGTACTTGGGTTTGACTTCATTTTGGGGGTAAATCACGTGGGTCATACTAGCAGCTTGGGCATGCAATGAAAGTGCTTCACTTGCACCTTTTTCAAACCTGTCATTTGCCTGATGTGAAAGTCAAAGGGTAGGAGATGGAGAATGTTGAGTTTGCCTTTGGTACTTGCTTTCATTTGCTTAATGTCACAATCATTGACTTATGGCTGTGTTCTGATCCCGCAACACTGCCAAACTAATCTTGTTAAACCAATCAATGACAAGGTTGAGCAAGAACCATTTGTTTGTGTGATTTGGCTAGTTCCTGCATTCTTGGATGGTGATCTGAGTATCAAAGGCATTACCTGCATCCTCAGTACAACCTACCCCATCAAATGGATCTACAACTATTGGTTTGGGTGTGGGTTTAGCAAAAGACTTGACGGCACAACCTCCTAACATTTTAGACTCTTCAAAAGGGAACAAGTAAGCAGTACCCACCCATCTCACCAGTTGTAACCCCATTCAAACCTCACCATTTTCTTTTATATCTTCACCAGCTTTGCTTTCAAATCAATCTTATTCAACAATCAACACTTTGCCTTCTACCTTATAATCCACAATTTGGACCACTTCTTACTGCACTCAACAACCTCAAGATAAATCTTCCTTATCATCACTCATCATAACTCGTGATTCACTCATTGTTAGTTATATGACAAGTTAAAGTCTCTCCAAGAGCAATGCTCAACTTTTTTGTGACACTTGAGGAAGTGGGTACTAATCAAGGTAGAAGAGCTAGACAAGTCAAACCAAAGATTTGTGGGGCGGTCAAAGTGTGTATCACAGATTCCAAGTCTGTTAAGGATATTACATATCTTAGTCATATAATTGTTCCATTTGTAAAGGTACAAGGATGTCAACAACTTTTGGGACCAAAGTCATTCCCATTAGCGGGGTTCAAGTAAAAAAAACACCTAAAATACAAATGTCCCTACATCAAAACACTGCTTATAATTTTGGAATTTTCAAAATACCTTCAGACAGCCCTTCCTGAGAAGCAAGTTTGGTGGATTTTTGTAAACAAAATGAGATTTGAAGGGCTGGGAGCAAGGCTGCAACTATACTATACTATACTTGGTATAGTATAGTCAAACTATACTGTACTTGAACTATACTCGGTATAGTATAGATGAACTATACTCAGATATACCAAACTATACTGTGCAGTATAGTTGGATAAGTTGATGGAAAACATATATAACACTTTTCCAGGTATAGTTGGTGAAAGGATACAATACTGAATATAGTTGGTTAAAGTATAGTTCAACTATACTATACCCAGTATAGTATAGTATGGTGAGAACAATACTATACCCAACTATACCTATACCGGTATAGTATAGTTGCACCCTTGCTGGGAGGAAAAATTAAGTAAATAGTGGCCAACTTGAGCCCTCCAATTCAGCCATTCAATAGTCATCTTCAATGCAATAACCAACCCAGAAGAACTGAATTCCTCACACATAGATGTTCTACAACAGATTACTCGAAATATCCCTTTCAATTATCTTCAACATAGTTCATAAACCTCAACTCATCTAATTGTCTTGTTCTTGTTGAACAATGTTATAGGTTAGTACTTTAATTCAATCATATTGATTGAGAAAATTCAATACTAGAAGTGGGTATTCAAATTGAAAAAAAATTGAAATGATTAAATGAATTTGTGGAATTGGAGAACCAATTGCTCAACAACTTTCATCAAGTGTAGGGTTTGAAACAAGGTCTAGATGATGGGAAGTTGAAGATTGAAAAAGAAGAAGGAATGAAACCTGAGTTCTTATTTATAGACGGTTTTTGATCTTCAAGGATTTTGTTACTTTTTTTTATCTGATGGTTGATATTTTTCAATAGTGTAATAAAGTTGGCATAACCAAGGAGTTGATTTAGTTGAAAGTAGATGATGAGCACAACCCTGTGCCAGAAACACACCACACCACAGCAAGCATGTTTTTTGGTGTGTTACTCGCAACACACAACAACACCCAGCAGCAGACACCGCATTGCGGTAAGTACAGAAACAACAAAAGGTAAGCTTGGGTTGTGCAACAGCGCCAAAAAAAACACTGAATTTAAGATTTTTTGGACAGTAATGCAACAAATGTTGTTGCGGCCCAAAAAGACAGTTGATTTGACACATCTTGCTGCACGGTAGGTCAGGCCAATTCTGGCTCACAGCGTAGGCAGAAGCGGAGGGCAGCGCGGAGGGCAGCGCCCGGCGCAGCCGCAGCACGCAACACCTGTGTTGCTGGCCCAGGTTTGATGACAACAGCCTCTTTCTTGACAGTAGGGAGTCCACAGTGGCAGAATGAAAAGTGGTCAGAAATAATTAATAATAATAGTAAACTGATCAAATGATGTGCGCTCTTGTGAGGCATGATCAATAGGGTAGACTTTTCACAAACAGAAATATCTTGGCACAAGGTTTGTTCTCCCTCAAACCCTATCACTGATACTCTAACCAAAGAATTGAATCTGTTTGAGAGTGAAATTCAATCAAAGATATAAAAAAGTACAATTGAAACACACATTAGTCAAAAAAATTTGCTATTTGGCCTTTTGCAAACACATTCAAAGCCTTGAACTTGTTTGAGTTTCAGTTGTAGAAAAGCAAGTTGGTACATCATCCTCTCCAACCCAGGCTCATCCTTTGATTGCCTGCTTGGGTGGTGTCCAGGTTTCTTTCTTCCCAGTGTCCTTGCATCTTTGAGATGTCTTTATGGCCACTTCTGGATTTTGAGCTGCTGAGTCGTACCCAGGGATTAGCTTTTTTTGAGATGTACTCTTGGCTCTCTTTGCTGGTGGTTCACCTGAGTTTTTGTTGGGCTCTTTGGATGCCTTCCTGCCTCTTTTCACCCGTGGTTTTTGATCTTCAGCAGAGAATGAAAATCCTCAGAATCCTCAAAAAACACACCACCAGAAGTACTTACTATGCTTCAGCACACCACTGGTTGAGCCAACTGGCAAGTCTTTGGTTGTAGGTTTGACCAAATTTTCCTCTACAACATCGTTAAAGCCACAACTGGGTCGACAAGGGTCAGATATCTGATGTCTAGAATAGTAATGAGATTGTTGGATGAGAGAGAAGAGAGTACAATGTGGCATGTATACAAGGTAGGCTGCGCTCAGATCTGTGACATGTTACAACGTATTTCACCTGCGGTTACACGTTTCTCAAGATCATAACAAACATCATAAGTTTGAGAAACTTCCACACTCGTATGAAGCGGAGAAGCGCATCAACTCTTTGGATCTCCTTCAATTGGATCTTTGTTGGACATAACATGACTGCTTGCAAATGGATCATTGTTAGATGTAGCATCATGACAAGTCTCAAGTTCCTTGATACCTGGTTCAATGATGGCCTTCTCAGAGGAGGTGTGCTCTGGTGAATAAATCAATCAAGGTTTCCCACATTTGGGGCCACAGATAGTGGTCAAGTCTGGACTCAGCAGGCGTGCTAAACCATCATCTTGCATATCATCATGAAACCAGATGCCTTGGATTCCATTCAAAGTGCAGACAAATTGATACCAGTGATGGTCACCGACCCAAAGTCCTTTGGATATTAGATGATTACGGTACTCAAAACAATCAGGTTCGTGCTACCTTTCTTGAAAACCTGCTTTCAAAATGTCGTTTTTGTGGGGAAAATGAACTGTAGAAAAATCCAAAAACAAAGTTCCAGCGAATTCCCAGGAATTCCCCCGCCAAAAGGTCAACTTTGAATCTATGTTTTTGACATTTTTTGAAAAAGGTGGCACAAACCTGATTGTTTTGAGTACCGTAGATACTGAGTTCCACAAAGCTTTGGTGTGTGGTGCCAGTCCATATTAACGACCAATGGGATATGTACATCATTGTTGCCTATAAAGTACTCCGGAATAAAGTACAGGTGAGAAGGTGAGTTTTGGAAGAGAATCAAGTTTTCTTGATGGATGTTGGGATGTATTGTTTCAAGTGTTGCTTTGGAGTGACTTTGATAGAGTAATCAATACCAGGACAATCTACTCTTGGTGTTTTCGCTTTCTTGCAAATTTTACAACATAAAGAAGACATGTGAGTGATACCTTGACTAATCCACTTTTGAAGGAGAATTCCAACATGCATTGAATCTATATCATTAAGTGCAAAGTGCCCATGCAACATTCTTATCACATTGAATTCCCAATGCTTAAATCTAACATGCTCCTTGTCAGCTCTCGAGCTCTTAAGCACGAAGAGCCAAAAGAGCTACAATGATAAAAATAAAACAGAAATAATATTTCATTTCTTTTTCACATTTTACAAACGTAGACAGCTATGTAAAATGTATCTTGATAAAACGTACAACTTCTAGACCCAGTTTCAAAGGTCACAAAAGCTATTGAGCAATGAGCATCAATACAACTAATGATAGAAATAAAATAAAAGATATATAGAACGCAAGTATCTACTCAAACATCAACACTGTTTTCCGACTTAGTATCAAAAGTCGCAGATAAGAAACATCCTTACATAATAAGTCATTGAGAGCAAGTCTATAAAGGATAAGTATAATCCTCTAGAAAAGGAGCTAGGCCGGAGGAAGCCTCACCAAGGAAAGTGAGAAGACACAAAGACTAGTATCAAAGCCAAAGAGCAGTATATGAGCAACGAGCTAAAAGAGACGTAAAAAAGAAATATTCACAATCTAGCAAATAACATCAATGGATTACCTAACAAACTAATCAAGCCAAGAAATGATCATGAGAACAAATTATTACGGAGTAAATAGACCATTGAGATGGCTTACCTAAAATGTACCAACGGATTCAATATTACATGAAAAGACAAGGACCATTTCGGAGCGATTAGATCCTTAGCTTGAATAAGAGAGCCGTGCAGCATTAACCACAAACTGAACCACTATACCAGAAAGGTATAAATACCAGGTAAGTAATCAGAAAGAAAGGGACCTCACCTGATTTTAACCATACCAAACTTTCTATTTTAGAACAATTATTTAAACCATAAATACATACTCTTTTCAATTGCTAGCTACTAAGAAAATTCCCAAAGAATAATTCCTATTAGTTCCCTTTTGAAAATCAGTTACTAAAGTCAGTGTCACACCTTTTTTCTTATAACTTGTTATTGTCTATAATCATCAGTTGGATAGTCTTAATTGGTAAAATAGTTATTGGTTA